ACTATACAGATTCTAATCCAAACAGGAAACTCAGTGTAGACACAATCTAAAAGAGGTAAGCATTAGATAGCTCCAACTGAATGTATAGCCTCAAAGACATAAGGACCAAAAATAGGTTCCTAGGACAGCAATCCTTAAGAGACTTTTTAAAAGTCAGCATGTGGTTACCTTGAACAGGTTAGGACAGTTACTATCCATGGTGGCTTCTAATGATCTAGCCAGAATTTTTGGCTGTTTTGTTTAAACCTTCAGTTTGGAAACCTTGAGACACCCACTACTCATCATTAACCTCTCTGGGGGTGGCAATGGGGAAAGATGAGGGCACATGTTTTCTTGTACAATTAAAAAAAAAAATCACAAAATGGTAGGTGTGATAGATCTGGAGCCTAGATTTGTAGAATAGATCAAATGTCATTTCCCCCATCCGTCTTAACTCCCGGAGAACCTGCCCATTCCACAGCTTCTAGAACAGGCAGCCCAATGTGCTCTAGAAAACTTACATACATATACCCACATACCATGTAAACACAAATCTTATGGTTAGGAATAAACCATAAAGAAATAATGTTTATAAGCAAATTAACTGACTTAAAAAATCATTTTACCTGTGTTACCATGTCCTTTTACTACAGAAGAAACTCAAAAGTTGATTGTTCATGTTTTTTTTTTTAAAGTCGACTTTACAAAAGCTGAATTTAAGTTGACTTTACATGAGAAAATTCTACCTAAAGCTATTTCATTTTGCCCAACACAAGGTGGATGCTCACAAACTTACTAAAGTTCATTCTCTGATAAATAAGTGAATAAGCAAATAAAAGTTCATTTAAGAAGAAATTGTGCTGGGTGCAATGGTTCACCCCTGTAATCACAGCACTTTGGGAGGGAAAGGTGGGAAGATTCCTTGCACCCAGGAGTTGGAGACCAGCTTGGGTAACAAAGTACGATCTTATCTCTGCAAAAATAAAAATAAAAAACATTAGCTGGGTGTGGCAGCACATGCCTGTAGTCCCAGCTACTTGGAAGGCTGAGGCAGGAGGATCCCTGAGCCCAGGAGGTTGAGGCTGCAGTGAGCCATGATCATGCCACTGTACTCCAGCCAGGGTGACCGAGTGAGACCCTGTCTCTCTCTCTCTCTTTTTCTCTTTCTCTCTCTCTCTCTCTCTCTCTGTCTCTCTCTCACACACACACATACACACACACAGAATTTGAAGAAAAATGTAACTATCAATATCCTTACAAAAAAAGTTTTGACAGGGTCTTGCTCTGTTGCACAGGCTGGAATGCATGATGTGATCTTGGCTCAATGCAAAACAGAAGTTATTGAAGCAAAAGTTAATTTCTAATTTATGGATTCTTTTGACTTGCTTTTGCATTGAGTATGTACTACCTTTACTTTTAAAAGATAATTTCATTAAAAACTAAGAGATAAAACTAGAGAAAAAAAACAGATCTAAGTACTTGAAGAGAAACAATTAAGTGGCTTTTATGAAGCTAAGCATTGATTAAACCTTTGCTTTAGAGCCACATTATCTGTATAATGTAAGTTAAAATAATAAAATTCATATAGAAATATTAGAAATAAATATTTTAAAAATCCAGTTGTATTATAAGAACATAGAACTTACAGCTTTCTTTTTTTTGGATATATGGGTCATTTTTACTTGTCTTATTAAGTATTCTATAATGTTATATAACTTTCAAATTTATGTGTTATATTTTACTCTTTGTCTTACTTTAAACTTCTCTGGTGACATCAAAAGACTTGTTACTGGACCAGCTTCCAAAAAGAATTTATGCAAAATTTCTTCAGTAAAGATATCCCACAAGATGACACATGAGTCTAGGCCCCCTGACAACATCCAACTTTGGTCTAATTTCGAAGAAAGACCATGTGAGTAAAGTAATGAAATGACACTTTGGTTGTGGCCTTTAAGAACTTTGTGAGGGCGAGAATCTGAAAAACAATGAAACACCAAATAATACAGATGTTATTTTTGTTCAGACAATCATCCAGGATTTTCTTTTATAAAATTTTAACATAAGGAAATTACATATAATTAAAGCATGCACTTGGCTAAGAAAACTAGTGAACACCATTAGATCATCTTAAAAAGCAAGTGCCTCACCAGAAGCCAGAGCATGGTTTTGATCAAGCGCTACAGTTAGTTGTTCAAAGTCTGTTAATTCTAGGCCGGGCACAGTGGCTCATGCCTGTAATATCAGCACTTTGGGAGGCCGAGAAGGGCAGATCACTTGAGGTCAGAAGTTCAAGACCAGCCTGGCCAGCATGGTAAAACCCCATCTCTACTAAAAATACAAAAATTAGCTGGGTGTGTTGGCTTGTGCCTGTAGTCCCAGCTACTTGGGAGTCTGAGGCAGGAGAATCACTTGAACCTGGAAGATGGAGGTTGCAGTGAGCTGAGATCATGCCACTGCACTCCAGCCTGGGTGACAGAGCAAGACTCTGTCTGAAAAAAAAAGGTTTACTGATTCTTAAGGATATTAGTTACCAATTCCAGTGTCATGGAATAGTAAACACTGTTCTAAAAGAGTGAACACTTCATACATTTGCCTCCATGAAAATAAGTTCAGAATATTGCTTATTTGCCTCTACAAAAATAAGTTCAGAAAATTACTTATATTTATTCTTTTTTTTGGAGACAGGGTCTCACTCTGTTGCTCAGGCTGGAGTGCAGTAGTGTGATCATGGCTCACTGTAGCCTCAAATTCCCTGGGCTTGGAGGATCCTTCTACCTCAGCCCCCTAGTAGCTGGGACCACAGGTGAATGCCACCATGCCCAGCTAATTTTTATATTTTTAGGAGGGACAGAGTGTCACCATGATGCTCACACTGTTCTCAAACTTCTGGGCTCAAGGGATCCACCTGTCTCAGCCCTTCCAAAGTGCTGGGATTACAGGCAGTAGCCACCTCGCCCAGCCTGTCATTCTTCAAATTATAGCAACTAAGTCTAGTATACCAGAAAAAAAAAAAAAGTTTCAGAAAATATTTTTACTTTGAAAGATGTTAGAGATTACCTAATTCTATTTCTTTGCTTTACAGATAAAGCATCTGAGGCTCAGAGAGGTTAAGTGGCTTGCATCCAAGTGTGTAAAAGCAAAGCAAAATGTTTAAGAGTGCAGTGCAGCACTGCTGTTAAATGAATCTGCGTTTTTCTTCCCCCTGGGTCTATCACTTACTAGATATGTCACCATATCTAGTTTCCTTTCCCTCTAAACCATAGATGTTACATCTGAAAATTTAGGATAATAATAGTCCTTACTTCAGACAAGACTGTTGTGTGGAATAAATAAGGTAATGTCTATAATTTTGTAGCACTCTGCTTGGCACTTGGTAGGCATATGGACATTTCAAATCATAGCTGTATGAGAGCACAGGACTAGTGACACACTACTGTGCTAAAGGGTGACTCTGCCCCTAGCCACACTGCTTCTTCCTTCATCATTAGCTAAACTCCCCCAAATTCATAAACCACAAACTCTCTTTATTCAAATTAAAAGTAAACCTCATCTAAGAATTATTATTATACTTCAGAAACTTCTATTCTGATGGACATCCTCACTTTGTATCTCCTAACAAACCAGGATGAGTGCTCATTCAGATGCTAGAAGTCAAGTGTGGCTTCTTCTTGCTTTCTGGATGTTAGGATAAATCAGTTTAGATAAAAACTGTTGGGTCTTCGCTTTTTCACTAACTTTTAACAGCAGCCATTTAGCTGTACACCAGTACTTTACCTCTCCTTGGTTCATTGCCATTTACTCCTCCACTTCAGTCAACCACTGAAGCGTAAGTCAGTAGCATTTAGTAAGTGGCCAAAGTAAGCTCAGAACAATAGTAGGCAATATAAGAAGATTTTTTAAAATTGAGATTTAGTCCTTACCCTTAAGGACCTTATGCTCTAATAGGATTTATATAACAATAATCAAATAGGCCAGGCACAGTGACTCACACCTGTAATCCCCAGCACTTTGGGATAGCTAGGCAGGCAAATCACCTGAGGTCAGGAGTTCGAAACCAGCCTGGCCAACATGGTGAAACCTCATCTCTACTAAAAATACAAAAATTAGCCAGGCGCAGCGGTAGGCGCCTGTAATCCCAGCTCCTCAGAAGGCTGAGGTAGAATTACTTTAACCTGGGAGGCAGAAGTTGCAGTGAGCTGAAATTGCTCCATTGCACTTCAGCCTGGGCAACAGAGTGAGACTCCACCTCAAATAATATTAACAATAAAACAGTGTAAAGTTTTTTTCTATGCATTCTAAATCTCATTCACCTCCTATACTTCTTTCCCTTACATAAGACAATTTAATAGGTATTTGTTGTTGTGATGCACAAATGCAGAAAGATGTATACACACATACAGACATTTCATTCACAAAGACATATAGCTTGAAACAGAAAGACACTCTTTTTCTTCTGATTAGCAAAGATTAAAAAGTTTAATAGCATACAAAGTTGGTTAAGTTTGGGGAGAAAGGCATTTTTACAGGCTATTAGTGAAAATGCATGCATATTGATGAAAGTTCTTTACAGAATATTTTAGATATATTTTCAAAATTAAAAATGCAAACAAGTGTTGATTTAGTGATTCTACTCTTAGGAATTAATATACAGATATGCCTATATATATATACAATGGTAATCAATTCCACATTGTCCATGGTAGCTAAAAACTAGAAAACCTACGTACCAATTAATAAGAAATTAAAGTTAGATTATTACTAATTATTTAAAGTCAGCTCATAAAGAATGCACTCCGAAATAGTTAGATTTGTTTAAGGACATTTGAGTAAAGCATGTAGAATATGCTTTTATTTGTGCAATATAATTAAAAGACTGTATATTGTTATGCTTGGTACGTCCTTAAATACACATAGAAAATTTCAAGAGGAGTATAAGTAAACTGTTATTAGCAGTTGCCTTTGAAGAAAGAAACTGGAAGATCAAGTAAGGAGAAAAACTCATTTCTTATTGTATAACCCTGTGCTTGATTTTTTTTTTTTAACCCTATATGTATGGTTTACTTTAACATTAAAATAGGTACACATTTATTGGCATTTGCCAATAAATTCTTTAGTTCTCTAAATCTTCTTTAGTGCACCTTGTTGAAATTGCAGCTTAGATAAATGAAATAAATAGCGTCAAATAAAATTCAACGACCTTTTTCTAAAGAACCGCCTTCTAGAAGTCTTGCTTTGGCAGCATTCAAAGCCTGGGTAATGAAAACTGCCCCATCTTCACAGCCACATATCAGTTTGTCAAGACTTGGAATATACTCTAATGAAGTGACTACAGCAGTTCCTGCACTATCTTTAAGCCCAGAGAAATGGTCAGTAATACTTTGCGACACTATATCATGCTTATCAAAATTATCTTGAAGAGTCCAGGTGGTAGTTATTGGTATCTCTAAAAAGAAAACAAACACAAAAAGAAAATTTGGTTTATCAATGCATCGTAGACATGGAAAATATCAAAGCACCCTCCCTTCAAAAATATGAATACAGTTTAACAGTCTATCCCCTATTCATATTGCCAGCGTTTATCTCTTGTTACGTTCAGTTGATGTTAACATAAATTATGTTGGTTGTGTTACTATATAAGATCTATAAGCTTTGTGTTTATACCTGCTTTTATGTTGTCATTTAATACATAATAGTACACAATAAGTTTTTCCTGTTTGTGGTCCCATATTGCTCACCTTAGAAGAAACAATGAGTTAATGACAAATTAGTTCTCAGAAGACATGTGACTAGAAATGGAAACTGACTTACCTCCAGGACAACCATCAGACTTGGACACAGGAACATCAGGGATGTGCCACAAAATAATTCTCCCTGAGACTTCTCCAGAGAAGAGTACCTTGTAAAAGGCTCTTTCCGTTCAATTCATGTAGCCCATAACAAGGGGACGGCTCTGTTCTGAAACAAAAAGTGAGCTTTTATGTAGGAAATATTCTAACTATAGAGAGATGGCCACTGTTTTTAAACAGAGAAACAACACTTAATAACTGATGTAAGTCTTTTCAATTTATTTCCCACTGTTTCAAAATTTCTAAGAAGTAATCTGTGATCTAGGACTAAAGAGGCTTTATAAAACAAGAAGCAAAGTCATAGACTTCAGAAAGTTAATGAGAGTATCTAACATTTACTGACCATGTTATTTGTGTGTGTGTGTGTGTGTGTGTGTTTGTGTGTGTATGTATATATATATACTGCTACGTGTACACATTACTGCAAGGGGCTTTCTACATATTCAGTTAAATAATCTTATAAATAACCTTATAAAATTGGTATTAGCGTTGTTTTCATTTTACAGACAAGAAAACTTGAAGTGAAGAGATTGGTCTGTCTAAGACGATTAGAGGTAGCAATGGGCTTTGACTCCGTAATTCTGATTCAGGAGCCCAGGTCCTGAATAGTTATAATTGTAACTGTTATACAGTAGTTCCTGTGTAGTTCTAATGGTCAGCTAAAACAGCAACAACTAATATTTATATAGTAATTGTATGTTATTAATATGTTTCCCACTTTTTGTCGACTGTTTTTTAGATTAAATATACTTGATTTCAGATTTCTCAAGTGGCTACAAAGGAAAATGATTTTATAATTTATAATTGTGTGTGTGTGTGTGTACATATACAGTGTTATACATTATATAAATCTATGATATTTAACATTGTATATACATTATATATAATTTATGATCTTGCTGAAGCAGAATATGAATAGTGGGCACCAGTGCCCTTAAAACTATGCCTTCACTATAGGGAATGTGCTTAGAGCATCCCTGGTCCTTCTCAGGACAGTGCAGCTGTTCTTTGGGCAGGTTTGAAAATAGAGATTATGCATAAGGGATCAAAATCATTTAAGTGATTACACAGACAAAGCCTGAACTCTCTTCAGTGCAGAAATAAAAGTCATCCTAAAAAGAAAGCCAACTGTGGGTGCTAGAATTAAAGAAGTCCAGAAAAGTGATGCTTCCTAGTCACAAAATACATGCTTTAAAGTCTGGATTTAGACATATTAGTGAAAAGCTCTGTTCATTAGGGATTATTAAGGGCCAAAATTAGCTACCTTTAATCTTCACAACAAAGCTATGTAGTAAGTAAACATTGTTATTATCCTGATATGAAAATAAGAAAACTCTGACAGAAAATAAGAAACCAATCCAAGGTCATCCAGCCAAGATTTGTAATGAATTCCCTGTAGTCCCAAGAAATAAGAACATCACGGAAAATGGTTCCAATAAAGTCAGTTTCTAAATAAATTTTTTTAAGGCTCAGAGGGCACTTTGGTGACTGTAAGTCATGATTTTTATAGCTATTTGAAATGGTGTTGATAAAATTTGGTTAAATTGGCTACTCGAACTCTCCTACCATTGTATACACTTAGAACAGATTGTTCCAACTCTCTGGTTATTCTGATTTAAAAAGGAAGCTCCAAGAGGCTGGTGGGTTACTCAAGTTGGTGGCAGCACAACCCCTCCCAGCTGCTGCTTTGCCCCTGCAGTTGAATCTCCCTGTTGCTTTCATCCCCGCTGCCTTCACCTTCTACACTGCTGCCTCTCACGTGCTCACATTCACCCCTTGGTCCTTCGCTCCTCCTCCTCCCAAACAATTGCCTCTAGTTCTGCTATTCACCTGAAAACCTCTTCATAGTGCCTTACCATGTGAATTCTGATTTTTTCATCACAGTGTCCATGAGAGTCTCCATCCTCCAAGAGGTAATAAAACATAGCCATTAGAACTGAAATCCCGGGCTGACTGCCTGGATTCAAATCCTGGCTTTACCACATGATAGCTGTACTAAAAGAGCATGTTACTTGCTGTAGGCAATTTGGTACACCTCACTGTCTCATTTTCCCTACCTGTGAAAGAAGACTAATAAAAGGACCTGATATGTGGGATTGGTGTGAGAAATAATGAGTAGATAAAGATACGGTGCTCAGAATGGTCCCTGACGTTTAGTCCCTATTCAATTAATTTTAACACTTCTTGTTATTCATAGAAGAATTGAGAAACTCACTCCAAAACCCATTACCAGATTTGGACTAAACCACTTGAGTTCAAATCCTGGGAATTCCCCTCTTCGAACATCAGTTTCAAACTGGGATCTTGGTGGCAACTAAAGTAAATGAGGTTGTTTGTATGCTTGACAATAATAAGGACTGAAAGTTGTAAATCATCATCACCATCATCATCATCAACATCAGTACTCTCAGTTCATGCACACACATTTATTCGTTTTTTTCCCCCTCCCAGTTTCAAAAGCCGGATGGTATCGTTCAAGTTTCTAAACTCTAGTTAGAAATTGTTGGGTTAATAATTACAAGTGACTTTTTGAGAACCCAGCACCAGCTGTACAAGTTATACATGGTTAATCTCATTCCTCCATCCCCTGCTGTTTTGTACAAAGGCTGAAGCCTACGAAGCCCAGAGTAAATCTTCTAGTGCCAAAGTTGTTTTGTTCTGGTTTTTGATCATGGGCAGCATGCAGGGATTTTTACATAATAAACCTCCCAAAGTTCATTTTCTACCTGAATGTTTTGTATGCCGCTCCCATCTGAGCCCACCTGTTCAGCAGCTGATAGATGTAACTGTGACCATCTTCTGTCCATATGAGGATTCTGTGAGCTGCAATCACTTCTCCACCAGCAAAGAACTGCGCATTTCTACTAACTTCAGTCAGCAGAAGGGAAAAACTACAATAATCATAAACCTAAAATATAAAGTTGATGCACATTATCAAAGGTTAAAATTTAATCTGCCAATAAGGTAAATATAAATTCTGATAGTAATAATATAACATCATAGTAAGTGTTAATAACAGACTATACTGTACTCATATATTAAGATGATATTTTACCATCACTTATTTAATCATATTTATCTTAGGGTAGGTTTCAGTGGATAAAGTTCATCTGGCTATTTTATTCCAGAGTGTGTACACTAAACATAGAAACCAAAAATCCCCAAATTTCTAAGTAATTTACTATTTCCATAATGAGTAGACCAGGTTTTATATTTGAAAATTTATTATTCACATAAAAAGTGTATATCACATAAATCTTTTGTTAGACCATATACTTTTAAATCTTTGTTCAAAAATATATTATCATCATACAAGTAAGGCTGTAGAGTTTTGTTAACCGATCCGTTATACAAAACTTTAAAGAAAAATGCATGCTATGAAATGATGGCAACTTAGCTTTTCTTTCTTCTGGGAAATGTCAGTGAACATATTCTCAAGAAAATAATGTTACTCCCTCTTAAAACCAATAAAAAAGTAAAATATCTAAAAGTATAATCAACTAGGTGAAAAGTATATTTTTAGTTCTAAAGTGTAGACACCAAATTTTGAAAATAATTTAGAGCTAAATATTCATTGTTATTATGGTTTGTTGTTAACAAAATTAGGATAGACTACTACATATCTAGTATCTTGAGATACAAAACTGTTGCATACCGTGGTATTAAATATGTAGTAATCTATCCCAATTTTATTACAGAGTTAAAAACTAATATGTCAGTCATAAAAGACACATCATTCCGTGTTCTGGTAATACTATATATAGAGAATTTTTATCATATTTAAATCATATTATTATTTTTGCGCAAAAAAGCCAAATTACATTTGTATATCACTGATATTTATTATTTTATTTTGTAATACCTTCCAACATTTAGAAAATACCACCAGGAGAAGTCTCTCAGTATATGTGCAAAATCGTATTGTTTGGCAGTTCAAGGACTCAAGAAACTTGGATTCTTTTTCATAGACATCTTGCTTTTCCTTCAAAAGGAAAGAAAATTTTTTAGTAGTAGTTCAGGTAATTTATACACAGCCATGAGAAGACCTTCTTCCCATACATCTTAAGTAGATCACACCATTATAAAATGAAAAATATTTGAGTTTCCTTTTGAGTGTTTTGAACTAAGAAGTTACTTTGCAATAGAAGTTATGTACCTGGGTGACAAAATAATCTGTACACCCAACCTCCACCACACTTAATTTATCTTTATAACAAACCTGTATATGTACTCCTGAAAGTCTTTAAAAAAGTTTTTAAAGAAATAAAGGATGTATTTCTTGGGGGAAAAAAAAGAAGCTGTGATCAGGAAATCCTCTTGGATTCAAGAACTCATTATATACAATAATTTAACAAACATTCTGTGGGGAACTATGGCTGGATGCTGAGAATGACAAGATTAAGAATAAGCTACAGACCGTTAGACATAGCAGAAAGGTCAAACAAAAAATGTAAAATGATGACTTAAAAAAGCCTACAGTATTTTATTTTTTTATTTTTTTCTTTAGGTGGAGTCTTGCTCTGTTGTCAAGGATGGAGTGCAGTGGCACGATCTCGGCTCATTGCAACCCCTGCCTTCTGTGTTCAAACCATTCTCCTACCTCAACCTCCGAAGTAGCTGGGATTACAGGTGCACACCATCATGCCCAGCTAAATTTTTTTGTATGTTTAGTAGAGACAGGGTTTCACCATATTGGATAGGCTGGTCTCAGACTTCTGACCTCTGGTCATCCACTCGCCTTGGCCTCCAAAGGGCTGGGATTACAGGCGTGAGCCACTATGCCTCACCTAGTATTTTAATTGCTAAGAAAAAAAAAATGAACAAAGTGCCAACACATGGCAAGTAGATTACTATATTCCCAGTAAGTTTGTGATAATGCTGGATGTGTATTTCTTGAGCTCAGCATACCAACAAAATTCCTAGGCTTCCTCAGCCAATAAATTCCTAAAGAGATCCCAGAGCTCCTTGGGGAAGCCTAAATAATTCTGTCATCAACACAAATAGTATGGTTGTTCTTTCGTCCATCATCTCAACTTGTAGCCTAATGTCAGGGAAGACATGAATATACTGGACCCCCCAGGGACATGCCTCTCAGTTGTTTATAGTTATTTGCCTGCCACTGTTAACACATACTCAGAAGAAAGGGGGATTTCTGTTGTAGGGACCTGAAAGATACTCCGCTATTTTTTTAAAATTAAAAATGTAATCTTTCTCTCTGTGCGTATGTGTGTGTGTGTGTAAATGAAAACATTTATATATACGTGGAGGAGATGTTGGAAGGATATAAGCCAGTTGTACCAATGGTCACTCCTGGGAAGCTGGATGGGGGGAGATTATGGAGGTAGAATTTATACACATCTATATTATTTGAACTTTTAACAATAAGCATGTAATAGCCTTGTAATTTATAAGTTTTGATGAATAGGCTTGAAATTGTAGAGAAAAAAGAGTAGGGTTCCCAAGCCAACCTGAATGCTGTTGATAGATGAGGAGAGATCCCACACTTTGAGCTCACCAGCTACTGATACCACCAAGAGAGAATCTTCTGTGAAAAGAACAAAAGTCACATATAAGCTGACCATGGATATAATTGGGCATGTAAAAATCATTTCATAGTCATTTGAGAATTATGTGGGGCTGTGTAGATGGAAAATTTTAATCTTTCGAGTTACTTTTTAATTAGAAAAAATAAACATTCTACATCATGCTGGAAATCTGTTTTAAAGTTTCAAAGTGATTACTAGGTAGGAGAGCACTACTAGAAGCAGAACTGCCTTGCGAATCATCATAACACGAAGCCTTCCTATTTCAGAAGTAAGTGAGGACCCAACTTCCACCTCCCTTTGCAGTCGCTCATTACAGGAACTGAATTATCAATACTGCATCCAGTAGACATAGCAGGGCAAGATCCCAGGAGTCCTGCTAATCCACAACAAAACCTGCTTGTCACTCTGAAAATGTAACAAGCAGAACTTGGTTATAAAAACACAGATTCTTGGGCAGGCGTGGTGGTTCATGCCTGTAATCCCAGAACTTTGAAAGGCTGAGACGGGTAGATCACAAAGTCAGGAGTTCAAGACCAGCCTGATCAAGATAGTGAAACACCATATCTACTAAAAATACAAAAATTAGTAAGGTATGGTGACATGTGCCTGTAATCCCAGCTGCTCAGGAGGCTGAGGCAGAGAATTGCCTGAACCTGGGATGTGGAGGCTGCAGTGAGCTGAGATCATGCCACTGCACTAGAGCCTGGGTAGCAGAGTGAGACTGCATCTCGACAAACAAAAGAAAAGAAAAGAAAAAAATAGATTCTCCTCTTTCCACCTCATCATAACCTTTTGCTGACTTTCCAATGTTTTGAACCACTGGCATGGGTGTTCTTAGTTTTTCTTGATTAGACATATTACAGACGTATCCACATTAATAGGTAAACATAAAGAAGCGTTCTTTCTGAATTCCTGCCCAATAATTTGACAAATAATTCAAAAGTAGATATTTTTATATGTGATCTCTNAGGCTGGTCTCAGACTTCTGACCTCTGGTGATCCACTCCCCTTGGCCTCCAAAGGACTGGGATTACAAGCGTGAGCCACCATGCCTCACCTAGTATTTTAATTGCTAAGAAAAAAAAAATGAACAAAGTGCCAACACATGGCACATAGATTACTATATTCCCAATAAGTTTGTGATAATGCTGGATATGCATTTCTTGATCTCAGCATACCAACAAAATTCCTAGGCTTCCTCAACCAATAAATTCCTAAACAGATCCCAGAGCTCCTTGGGGAAGCCTAAATAATTTTGTCATCAACACAAATCGTATGATTGTTCTTTTGTCCATCATCTCAACTTGTAGCCTGATGTCAGGGAAGAGGTGAGTATACTGGACCCTCCAGGGACGTGCCTCTCAGTTGTTTATAATCATTTGTCTGCCACTGTTAACACATACTCGGAAGAAAGGGGGATTTCTGCTGTAAGGACCAGAAAGATACTCCGCTATTTTTTTTAAATTAAAAATGTAGTCTTTCTCTCTGTGCGTATGCGTGTGTGTATAAATGAAAACATTTATATATACATAGAGAAGAGGTTGGAAGGATACAAGCCAGTTGTACCAATGGTCACCCCTGGGAAGATGGATGCGGGGAGAATATGGAGGTAGAATTTATACACTTTATATTATTTGAACTTTTAACAATAAGCATGTAATAGCCTTGTAATTTGTAAGTTTTGATGAATATACTTGAAATTGTAGGGAAAAAAGAGTAGGGTTCCCAAGCCAACCTGAATGCTGTTGATAGATGAGGAGAGATCCCATACTTTGAGCTCACCAGCTACTGATACCACCAAGAGAGAATCTTTTGTGAAAACAACAAAAGTCACATATAAGCTGACCATGGATATAATTGGGCATGTAAAAATCATTTCATAGTCATTTGAGAATTATGCAGGGCTGTGTAGATGGAAAATTTTAATATTTTGAGTTACTTTTAAACTAGAAAAAAATAAACATTCCACATCATGCTAGAAATCTGTTTTAAAGTTTCAGAGTGATTCCTAGAGAGAAGAAGAGCACTAGAAGCAGAACTGCATTGCGAATCATCATAACAGGAAGCCTTCCTATTTCAGAAGTAAGTGAGGAGCCGACTTCCACCTCCCTTTGCAGTCGCTCATTACAGGAGCTGAATTATCAATACTGCATCCAGAAGATAGAGCAGGGCAAGATTCCAGGAGTCCTGCTAATCCACAGCAAAACCTGCTTGTCACTCTGAAAATGTAACAAGCAGAACTTGGTTATAAAAACACAGATTCTTGGGCAGGCGCGGTGGTTCACGCCTGTAATCCCAGAACTTTGAGAGGTTGAGGTGGTTGGATCACAAGGTCAGGAGTTCAAGACTAGCCTGATCAAGATAGTGAAACCCCATATCTACTAAAAATACAAAAATTAGTCAGGTGTGGTGACATGTGCCTACAATCCCAGCTACTCAGGAGGCTGAGGCAGAGAATTGCCTGAACCTGGGATGTAGAGGCTGCAGTGAGCTGAGATCATGCCACTGCACTAGAGCCTGGGCATCAGAGTGAGACTCCGTCTCAAAAAACAAAACAAAATGAAAGAAAAAAACAGATTCTCCTCTTTCCACCTCATTATAACCTTTTGCTGACTTTCCAATGTTTTGAACCACTGGCATGGGTGTTCTTAGCTTTTCTTGATCAGACATATTACAGACATATCCTCATTAATAGGTAAACATAAAGAAGCGTTCTTTCTGAATTCCTGCCCAATAATTTGACAAATAATTCAAAAGTAGATATTTTTATATGTGATCTCTTACTGTCAGATAATATCCAACTACTACCTTGAATTCTTACGGAGTGAACAATGCACATGCAGTTGATCCAATTGGGAAACTGAGATGATCTAAAACTGGGCAACAGCCAAAGTTTTGGCGTCAATTATGAGGACATCTTGATATTCTCCACAACAAAGAAGCCAGCCTTCTCCTGTCATCTGGAATGAGCAGTGATAATACTATGTATATGGAAATCAAAGCAAACATTTCATTATAACTAGAAATTAACATAATTTTTCTACATTGAACTAAATTCTCTAGATTTTAGTTTTAGCTTATGATCAATTAAGGTATTGAACTGAATTGCAGCTCAAATTTTTCTTAGTTCGGTTATTCCAAACTCCCATTGGCCCTTTAGTCTCATTTGCATCTCATGATTTTTCTGGAGAAAGAGAGACCTTTTGGAAGGAGTGATTTTATTCTAAATCATGGAAAGCTCACACTTATTTTATTTCTAGAGTGTAACTTGGAACTAAACAACCACCATGGGGCCAGGCACAGTGGCTCATGCCTATAATCCCAGTGCTTTGGGAGGCTAAGGCAGGAAGATCACTTGAGGCCAGGATTTGAGGCCAGGATTTGAGGCTGCCATGAGCATCACTGCATTTCAGCCTGAGTGAAAGAGCAAGACCCTGTCTCTTAAAGAAAAAAAATTAATAACAACAACAAAACCCTGGTTCCTTACCCAAGCAACAATTCTGTATGTTAAAAAGAAATAAAGGGTTTGAAGGGCATTTGAGTATTATCGTGCCAAATAAGTTTTGGAAATCTTTTATTTCCAAGTAATGCATTCTACTTTTAACCAGCTCTCTCTGTGCAGGATTTTATTCCCAGAAAAATAGAAGAGAGTTTGTGAATGTTGCAATGCAAATCATCAACACTAAAAGTATGAAATATTTAAAAACATGGTCAGCACCATTGGAAGCGTGCAACCACACTGCATATGCTTGGAAGTCATGTACTAAAAGCCAAGATTTGCTTTGAAGATTGGGAAGTTATCATAAAAGTTACAGTTATGCTGCTTGCTCTCATTTCATAAATAAGACATTTAGAAATTAAGAACCTATCCACACAAAAAAATAGGGGTTGAAATTGGAAATGAGAGAGAAAAAATTATGCTTTATAACATAGCACATCATTAACATTGAATTTTTACATGTGTACAAGTATGTGTGTTTTGTGTCACTAAGGCAACATATGGACACTGTCTTTCAAATCTGTTAGAAAGATACAAAAATGAAAGAATCGGGAAAAATCTGCTTGACTAATACCTTTTGGGAAAGAAAAATGCCATAATAGCAGATGATTACTGATGATATTCGACCCTCATGACAAAATAAAAATTCAAGAAAAGGATATTCTCCAAAGACACTTCTTTAGAAGTGTATTTGCAGATGCCCTAAACAAGTTGCAGAATCCGGGAACGCTCTGGAGGAAGTGAGCGTACTTACATAGATTGTACTGTGCCTGTAAGGAAGTGTAGCCTTCACGCACTGTCCATTGGTGACGTTCCAAACACACATCTCCCTAGCAGAGACAACTTTGTATTCTCTGTCGTTTCCACTCAATTGGCTGGAATAATTTTTGTGCCACCAAGTTTTTCTTTAGTGCTGCACTTAAGTGCAGCCTGATCATTTATGTGGCTTTTTGTTACAGATTACTGGGCAAGAAGATGTTGTGGTCATTAGCAGGGATGACATACTGTATCTGTATCTTTTTGTTTGGGTAATTACACCCTGCTGTCAGCCTGCAAACCTTACTTTAGGGACAACCCAGCCTAAAACAAATTGTGGGGATACAGCTATCACAGCCTCTTAGTGACAGTAGAACAGTCTTTCCATGGAAACTGTATCCTCTTGAAAATGCTTTATTTCACTGAACTTAAACTACATAGTCTGAAAATCATAATGCATCAAGTGCTGCATCTTCTGAGGCCAGCGCATCATCTTTGTTAAAAACAAACAGTGCCACCAAGAGGCTACATTTGGTCTATCATTGCTAACAGTTTATCTGTGCTACTCCTGACTTGAAATTCTGAAATCATCCTTGCCACTTAATATTTAGAAAACCATTATTATTTCAAAAACTTGTACTTAGTTGTAGATTACAAAGACATTGTTTTAAAATACAGTCACAAAATACACCCAGCATAGGGTGGTTTATATGACTTCACAAAAATCAGAATGGCTGTTTCAGGATTGTTTGGTAATATTCTTCAGTCTTGACAGTTTTAA